ATCATTTTTGCACTGATTTTATACTTATTTTTCACATGAGTGAAGTCCCATTCACCCTTTCTCTTTCCATAGATAGCAGGTCAATTAGCACAACCCTCGCAAATATGTTTATTGCGTTCCTCAATTGTCTGTTGTCAGCATTATGCTACCCATCCACTAGGCAACCAGGCGACCGAGCAATTTATGACCAAATGACCAATAAATGTCCAGTTGTAAAAATTTTCGGTGTCTCGGGCGATCGAACAAAATTTTATTCATATTTCTTGAACATTAGAGAAAAAAGTATGTATATTTCGAACGTGAAATGAGATAAAATCGACTTTTGTTGCAAATTTTAGATTGTTTTCATTTTATTTAAATATTTATTTTTTATATAAAAATCATATTAAACTTATTGATATTAAATTAATGTTGTACATTTGCAACAGATGAATTTAGAATGAATTTTGTCTCAAATATATAGCTCTCAAAGTATTGGTTCAAACGTAGACCAATGGCCGTTATAACAAATTATTCACGATTTATATATTATATTAAAAAATTTTAACCTGAAACTGGCCTTTAATCTTGGAATATACGTCTACATTACAATAATGCAGATACGAGAAAAGGGTCGTGTAATGTGAATTTCATAAGTGAAATTAAATTCCAAACCAATGACTCATATTTTTTGAGGTGCAATTAGAAACGGACAACTTTTAAAACAAATTCAATATTATATTTATTTTTGAAGGAAAAAACACGAATTAAAAATCAATTTTTTATTCATATGAATAAAATGTGGAAACTTTATGTATGCATTTCGCCAGTATAATCAATTTTTTGTAGTATATAAAAATTTTTTAATAGATAACACATCGCATTGCCGTTCTTACTATATTCATTTCTAAGATTTTATTTATAATATATAAAGAAATTTGGTTAATTAATTAAAGAAAAAAAATTTAATATTTTTCTTATATCATTGAAATCAGCGCAAGAAATGGATTTTGCGATCTAAGGTGTTAACGGTTAATTTATAGAATTTCGGGTTTTGGAAAAATCAGATTAAATTCGTTTGGGGATTTTTGGTTTGAATATACCTGGATTCAGGATTAATCCATTAAATGAAATGTTAACGTTTACAAAAAGGAATTACTGCATTATTGAAGGCATTATTGACATAAATTTAATATAAGATTTAGATTTTTTGTTCGACGTTGAGACATATTTCTTGAATGTTAATATTTGCAGCCAATCGTTGAAATAAAAAAAAACAATAAATAATGAACTATTTATTGATACGTTTCGACACGGCCCGTGTATCATCATTCAGTAATTTTTTTATTAATTATTATTCAATAACACCAGGAAAATAATCACAAAAATTGGAACTAACATTATTGAAAAATAAAACATAATAATTAAGTAAAAAAAAATTATTATGTTTTATTTTTCAATAATGTTTGTTTCAATTTTTGTGATTGTTTTTCCTGGTATTATACTGTAAAAATATTTTTAAAAAATCACTGAATGGTGACACACCGTGTCGAAACGTATAAATAAATAGTTCATTATTTAT